CAGAGCCCCCGGGCAGCCTGGCCCACCCCCTCCCCCACCCACGCCTGGCCTTCGAACAGAACTTGCCTCTTCCTCTTCCTCCTCTTCCACATCCAGGATCCCAGAATCCCGCTCGGAGATCGGACTGGCGTTCTTGAGCTCCGGGCCTGAATTCCCGCCAGCCTCTCTCCTGCCCCGGCGGCCCCCGGCCCTCGAGGGCTGCCCCACCAGGCCGTCCAGGCTCCTCTGCTGCTGGGCCTAGGGCACAAGTGGAGAGGACGGTCGGTCGGAGCGCCACTGCCGGTCACCCAGGGGGCGCTTCTCCGTATGACCCCCCACCCCACCCAAGAGCCCCCTCGGGAGGCCTTCCCTGGAAGCCCCACCTGGCTGAGGGCTGACCTGGGGGCCCAGCAGTAGGGCGGCCTGGACCCCCAGCCCCCCCCCACCATTAAGAGTGACTTCCCCTTGCACCCCCCACTTGTCAGTTCCAGCTGCCAACATCTGGGCACCAGAGAGGCCTGGAAGGGACCCTGGGAAACCTCCTCTGTGCACTGCAGATGGATGCCACCTGCCCACCCTCTTCTGCCAGGGCACGCTAGAGGAGCCCCTCCCCAGGCAGCGTCCTTCCCCCCAACAATTTGAATCCCCCAATGAAACATTTTGCTCTGTGAGAAATGGGGGGGGGTGTTCTCTGCAGATGGAAGGAGGACCTTCTCTTAACAGGACAAGATGCCCCCCAACACACACAGACACACTCTCATCTTAGATTTGTATATGTACATTTGCAGGGATCACAGAATTAGAGGTAGCCTCGACCTACGGCCGAAACTGAGCCCACCACCCCCCTCACCACCACCCTGATGGGTTTCAGGGTTAGGCAGCTTTTCCACCACCCTCTCTCAGTCCAATGAGGGTCAGCAAGAGGGGGGGTGTTTCCTTCCCTTACAAGACCCTCCCCAGGCCTGGGGGCTCCTCTGTGCCAGCAGGCAGGGCAGCCCCTGCAGATGGGGGGAGGGGGAGGCTCTCCAAGGAAGGGCTTGTGGTCCCCTCCTGACCTCTAGCGGCCCCACAGCACCATTTCTGCTTGTAAAATACACCACCACCCCCAGCCCAGCCTAGCATCCACCGTCTGCGTCCCCTGGCTAGGAGGCGGCTGGGGCTGGGGGGAGAGGGTGCTCTTCTTGCAACCTCTTCCCTGCTGTGAAGCCTCTTCGGAGTCCCAGTGCGGCCGGGCCCCGACTCCTGAAGCCCCCAGCCTCCATTCCCGCCCTAGCCAGGCCATGCCCTGCGTGCCCCTCTGGGAAGGTCCAGGAGACGTGGGCAGGGGAAAAGGGTCGTGCGAGGTCGTCCTTGACTAAAGGTATGGAAGTCTCAGTGGCTATTGGTAGGGAGGAGACACACGCAGCTTCTACCAGGAAGCCCCCCATCCCCAACCAGCGAGCCAAGGGGAGCAAAGAGGCCGGCTGAGTTCGCTCCTGGATCTTCTTCCAAATTCCCACCGGCCTCCAGACCAGCAGCTGGTCCCAAAATGCTCAGCACCACCATCCTCCGGCCACCGGGCACCTCTGAAGACAGGGGAGGTAGCCAGAAGGACCTCTCTGCCCATCCTGCGTGCTGTTGGGCTCCAGACCAGCCTCCGGCTCTGCCAGCCCCTTCCCCTACTCAGAAGAAGGGGGCTTTCCTGGGGGGGTGGAGGGCCAGGAAGGCCCCTGGGAGTGCCGAGGGCCCCCCCACCCCCATCCCACCAACTCTGCTGACACTGAGCGAGCGAGGGAGCTTCCTGGGAAGGCTCCCGTGGGCTCCTCCCTGGTGAGTGGCAGCCAAGGCAAAGGATGCGTTGGGCCGGGAGGGTGGGGGGGAGGAGCAGCTCCTCCTGGGCTTGGTGGTTTTGATTAGCTTCCCGGCCACAATTGTTTTATAGGCTCCTCTAATGGACTGAGACACAGAACGCTGAAATACGGCCCCCTCTTCCCCTCCTCGGGAAGGAAGACCCGGCCCCTAAAACAAGATGTGGGGAAAGAGGCGAGGAGGAGAGAAGGGAGGGAAGCTAACAAGGAGTGACAGTGTGGTTGGGGCCTCCGCCAGGGAGGCATTTGAAAGCTATAAAGTCCCCCCCCCGCGTCCCCCAGATCAGATAAGGGGAGTCTGATTACTGCAAGGTGTAAACTCAGCTTCTGGTGGGAGGTTTGAGTAAAGAAAGAGGCTTATCAGCTGCTTGCCAAGAAGGGCCTTTTGTGCAGAAGGGGGGGGGCAGCAGGGACCTCCTCCTCCTCCTCCTCCTCTCCCAGGCCCTTCCAAGGCACCTGATACCAGCAATTATGGATAGTCCTCAACTTACGACCGTTTGAAGCAAGAAGAGCCTTGGGAAAAAATGACTTCTTGCCATTGTTCACCATTATGACGGTTGCAGCATCCCCTCCTCTACACCCGGATGATTGACAACTGCCTTGCATTTATGACAGTGGCAATGTCCCAGGGCGTCACGTGATCCCCTTTTGCGACCTTCTGACAAGCAATGTCCATGGGGAAGCCACGTTCACTTAACAACCAGGTGACTAATTTAACAGCTGTGGCAAGAAAGGTCATAAAATGGAACAAAGCTTACTTAACAAATGTCTCCCTTAGCATAACATAAATTCTGGCCTCAATTGTGGTCGTTAAGTCGAGGACTCCCTGCACAGCCAGGAGGCAAGCTGGAAACCTTGGTCCCCTGGAGAGAGGCCGAGTGGGGCCCTGGGCTGGCTTCGGCCATTGGGGGAGGTGCAGGACAGCCACACGGTGGGGATCTGCACAGTCGCTCTGGGATCCCACTAACCACAGGATCTCCTGATCGCTTATTTGCGCCCCATGGCGATGATTAAGTGGGGGGGCCTGATGATCCGTGACAAATGCACCTTTTCTTTTCTGTACCCTGAGAGCATCTGCACCAAAGACAAAGTCCTTCTGTGTCCAATCACACTTGGCCCATAAAGAATTCTATTCTATTCTATTCTATATTCTATTCTATTCTATTCTATTCTATT